GAAGTGGCTTTAGCTTCTTAGTGCTGCGCTTTAACCCACTGCGGCACCAGGGAGGGCCGTGAAAGTTTATTTTTAAAACACCAAGATTTTAAATACTCTAGGTAAGCTCTATATTTTTAAGTTTGTAAAAGAACTTGAGTTCCATTATTCTAAGTTTTAAACTGAGGATGTTTTGTTATAAGGGGGATATCTGATAACAATTGGAGACATGGGGACTGAATAGGGACTGAAGCTACTATTGATTGTCACCTAACACATAAATAATAAAAACATGCTAAATGCCCTATAACGAAAAGCCCCACCCCATCAAGAATTATCTGTCAATAGTATCAAATGTACGAAAAAGTACTAAGGTAATTGTGCCAAAGGTGAAGAACCCTCCTCTGCCAAAACAAGATAAAATGCCATCTAACCAAAAATTTGCTTTTAACACATATTAAGCTGCCACAGAATTTATCCAAAACAGGTAAGGAAGGAAACAATATGAATATAAATTTAAACAATAGTTGAATAAACAATTTTGACATCAATGAAACTCAATATGGAATCCCAGCCAATTCTAAAATGTTCACATGCTGTCCAGTGTAAAAGTAACATCAATATTTATGTTTATTGTTATTGTGAGAAATATTAAATAAGAAACTATTTCTAACAGCATCAAGTGTAGGTCTCAGTAAGATCATAACCAATGCTAAGTCTCAAAATAAAGAAACATTTTTTTTTCTATAGTGAATCTAATGTGTAAAAGAAATAGAATTTTAAACAAAATTATCAATTTACCTCCAATGATCCCATCTTCTGTACATAAAATATTCCTGTTACAAAATTTGGCTATTCTAGAATCATTTTCATTATCTGTTTGTGATTTACAAAGTGTTTTATCTTCATCTGACAGATCACTCCCACTGGAGCTCCATGTTATGTCTGTAAAATCATTAGTACTCTTGGGTACAGTAGATTCTGTGAAAGAAAAAATATATACATAAATAATTAATTGATAACATTATTTACCACAATGAGATTTTATGTACATTACTTTGCAAAGTCACAAATACACAAATTCTGATTAGTGATAAACTAAAGTTGTATACATACAACTAAAATTATATATTTTAATATATCAATCCATTCCATCCTTGCTAGAGTTTTTGATGAGAAATCTGATACAAATATGATGGGAATACATTTATAAACTACCAATATTTTCTCAACCCACTGTTAATATTTGTTCTTTGTCTTGAATACTTGATAGTTTCACTATGTGCCCTGGTATAGGTCTCATTTCACTACATTTAGATAACCAGCTCATGGGCTTGCACATTCAGTTTCTTCACTGGTTTTTGGATATTTTCCCACTATTTTCTCCTTCAGTAAGATCTCTATGCCCTTCTCTCTCGCCCCAGTCTAGGATATATATCTTTCCTGATGGGAATCAGATAATTCTCAAAGTTCTCTTTTGGTTTTAGTTGTTGTTTAACTGTTTTGCATTTCTCCACTTGTTACACCGTGCATTTCCATCTTCTCAATCAATTCTCCACTAGGTCTATTCTGTACTCACAGCTTTCTCTCAAATTCTTTATCTCACTTGTTGAGTTTTTTATATACTGAATATTACTGTCTTATGTAAAATTTCAATTTTATAACTTCTGTTCATTATTTCATTTGTGAGCTCTTCGTTCCTTTTTCTCAAATTTCTTTTATCTCTTTGTGTCAGTGCACATCATGAAGTCAGTACCAATCCTAAGGCATGGGGAAGGGAAAGTGAAGTCTAGAGCACTTACTCTGTTCTTTCACTTATCAGAGTGGTGCTCATCTATGTGGAGCACCCAGTTCCTTCATATGGCATCAATTGGATCAAACGTGTATTTCAACTCTCTTCTGCCAGGATGCCTAGCTGAACCAGGAGCTCTATAGTTTGTGACACCAAACCCAAACAGCAACCAGGAAGAATTTCTATCAAGGGTCTATCCAACAAAGCATGAATCTCAATTCTGTGCCTTTTATTGCAGTCTCTGTTGGTCACTGTGGTGCAAGTGGTATTTCAGTCTCACCCTGAAATACAGGAATCTCTTGGTACAGTATTCCTCTGGTCAACTGTTAAGACATTCCTCTTGGGAGTGAAGTCTATTCAACATAAAATAGTGTCACTTTAATGTTACACTGAGGAAGAATCTCAGAAATATCTCAAAGTGAGTGAGATCAGAAGATTCTCAGGTTCTTGTTTTTCATTTCCCTTACCTCTTTCCAATCCTAAAGACCTCTAAAGCCAGCTCGACATGGTCAATTAAGAAGTTTCTTCTATCATTTCTCCTGGCATCTGCCTCCTGGGCCAACCTATAATTTTTATTACCTGGCATAAATATTTAAGTGTATGAATGCTGATTTGTATGACAGCTGTATGTTGTCTGATTAAAAAGTGCAAACTGGGGCCCTCCCCGGTGGCGCAGCGGGTTAAAGCACAGCACTAAGAAGCTAAAGCCACTTCTGCATGAGTTCGATCCCCGCCTGCCCCAGAGGAGACCACATGGTGTGGCAGACCTCTCCTGACCCGCCCGCTGCTCCCCTCAGCAGTGTACTTTGATCTGCCTGTTCTGCTCCCCGCTCTGCCTCTGGTGAATCCTCTCACCCTCCGTATCTCTGGCCTGTACCCCAGTTCTGTATGAATAAATAAATAAATCTTTAAAAAAAAAAAAGTGCAAACTGTTTTTTAGAATGACTGTACTATTTACAGTCTCACTAGCAAAGTTTGCTTGATTTAGTTTCTCTACATCAACAGCAGCATAATAATATAATAGTATTATATTATACTAGTATAATAGTATAATAATAGTATTATCACTATTTTTCATTTTAATCATTCTGATAGGAAACTGAAAATCATGTCTACAGAAAGAGCACTTACAAATGTCCAATAACACAAAGTAGTAATAAACATTTTCTGAACACACTGTGCTGTGAAAAATTTTAATTATACAGTTGTCTATCTTTCAAAATTCAAAATTAAACTATCAGGACAACCTAAGAATTCATTCATATTGATTTAAAAATATATTAAATCTAAGGTGTACACTTACTTTAAAATATTATTGATTTTTTTTCATTATTATGATTTGGAAAAGTTAATCCAAAAAGAAAAGGCAGAAGATTTTAACATGTTGGAACCAAATTCCCTTGTGATGCTATTAGAGGTGGGAGCTTTGGCTGGTGTTTAGGTCATGAGATCTTTGTGAATATTAAAGGTGGCCCAGAGAGATCTCTGGCCCATTGTGCCTAATGAGGGCACATCAAAAAGGTGCTATATATTAACCAGGAAGTGATACATCAGATTTCCAACATCTAGACTATGAGAAATAAATGTCTACTCTTTATAAATCACCATCTATGGTAACATCCTAAATGGACAATGACAAAAAGTACAATATCACTGTTTTAAAATTATACAATGAATTCAGAGCTTTCATACATGTACAAATTACTGACACCTAACTATATATCATTTATACAGGTAAAATCACTACCAAGAATTTATTAACATATTTTCTTTGCTGAAAAGAATTACCCTTAAAGGCCCATTTCAATTAAATTTTAGGAAGGATATCAGTTAGATTAAGAGAGCAGTTACTATGCATTTATATAGATTTCATGGTACCATTACACTAGCACCTGGTATTATAGGTTGAATTACATCTCCACAAAATTCAACCATATGAGAAGATGACATAATCAAAAACGGCAACAGAAAGGGACACTGTAACAACAGCACAGTTTGGGATACAACTGAAATACCACTTGGACTTCAAATATAGTATGGCTGCACGAAGGAACCATGGAGGAGTCTGACTCTTCATTGATTAGGCAGAGTGAGGAGAGATACGTGGAGATTGCAGTCCAAGGCCCATGACAAGTACATCAAGGGTACTAGTTTAGCCAAAGGTTCTGGGGAGTGTAGAGCAGAAACAAACCACAGGTATACATAACTTTAAAAGAAAGGAATACCATACAGAAAAACACAATACTACACCCAAATGAACACATAAGAGGTAAAAGAACACAGGAAGCATTCTAAACAGCACCTCTCATCCCTGACCTCAGAGCTGGTAGTGACCTCAGACAATGCAGTAACTTTATACAGCATGCCAAATTTCAATCTGAAATCCCAGAAGGATATTGGGGTGATAAATCATGAATCAACTCCCAAGCCAACAGCACATTACAAGCAGTGACTGAGTCTCTCAAGGATGTCCCATACACTATGACTCAGTAATTAGAAAAACTTGTCATGTACCTACTAAAACCTACAAAGGCCAAAAAATTCAAGTCAAATCAAATCAAATCAGAACATCTCCTGAAAGGAAAAGGACAGACACCATGAGTCTGTTCACCAGGAAAGTCCCTGGCTTTATTTTCAGCATCAAGCTTATATACATGAAAAGGAGATTACTGTAACAAAGGGGGCTACACTGGCCTGCGCCCATTGGCCAGGCCCTGGCTAGGCAGGTGGGAAGTATCAAAATTATTTACAAAAGAATCTATAAGCTGGGGTTTTTGGGTCTGTGCCCATGTACGGGGATGGAGACAGCTAGAACCTAGTCAAGGTCGTGGGCGCGTCCTTATCAGTCTGAGGCCCAGATTTGCTAACTAAGCTAAACTGCTAAGCCAAACTGCTTTCCTTCATCACCTATATGAAAAGTGAAAATAATTAAATTATCTAAGTCACTGCTACCTGAAAATTTAAAGTATTAAAATAGGTATATAAAATATGTAACACATGGCAACTCCTGATTCTATGGACTATGAGACTGCAACTCTTAAGAATCCAACCACAATGACATAGAAACTGTCTTCCTATCAAACAGAGATTCAAAATTATTATAATAAACTCAAAGAAAGAGAAGTAAATTCAAACATATGACACAAAGAGAATCTAAAAAAGCTAACATAAAAATATAAGAATAACAGAAATGAATGCACTCAAAAATAAAAATGAGCAGAAGTAAAATCTGCAGTTGTCAATAAGAAAACAGTAAAGATTTTGGATGCCATTAAATGAGATAGAGAAACTGAGAGTAAGTTATGCTTGCAGAATGGACCAAAAGGAAGGGTGATTTTAAAGATAGAAATGCAGATAGAAATGAGGGGGAAGAAGACAGAGAAATAATTTGTAGAATAAGTGAAGCATCACTTCAAGAACTGCCTGATTCTATTAGGAAAGGCAACATGAAGATAATGATTAACCTAGATGGGAAGGAGAGGGAAGGAAATAATTTATCCAAAGAAATAAAGGAAGAAAAATTCCCACATCTGAGAAGTAACTAAATATACAGTCCATTGAAGTAAATGAATACCCAGCCAAGTTTTCATCTAATGGCAATGAAACCTAAAAGACCCTCAGGTATAAAACTATCATGAGTTCAAGATAAAGAAAGAATATTTTAAGAAAGCTAGTGCAAAAACGATCAAGTAACTTATAAAGGTAGTGCCATCAGACTTTCATCAACTTCTCAGCAGAAACTCTGCAGGCAAGGGAAAAATAGAATTATGTATTCAAAATATTCAAAGATTAAAAACTATCAGTGAAAAACACTATATCCTACAAGACTCCCTTTCAGATGAGGGAGAAATAAAGGTGTTCCCAGAGAAAAATAAGCAAAAAGAGTTGCCAACACTACACCTCCCATTCAGAAATGTTCAAAGGATTTAAATGACAGAGAAAAAATTTGACAAGAAAACCTCAGAACAAGTAAACAAAGAGAATCAGGACACTAAAGACAAGATATCGATAGCAAGTCCTTGTACAAATAGTCACCCTCAATGTAACTGGTCTGATCTTGCAAATCAAAAGGCTGGATAGGAAAATGAAACCCAACTTAGTGTTGTCTCCAGAAAATAATCTGAGCTCCAAAAGTAAACATAAGTGCAAAGTAAAAAGTTAGAGAATAATCCTACAAGTACATAGAATC